CTCCCGGTAGTACGAACTCAAAGAGCACCATCTAAACATCCATAGACTCCTGCAACTGTCTGGAGACCACACACATCCAATTGTCGTCGTAATCGCAACCCATTCAGCTCTGATTGAACCGTGTCTATCTGCGCTGCGCGTGTGTGTGTTTTTCTTTCTTTTGTCCGCTCTGTCTTGATTTTTTCCTCTTCATTTTCTGGGACTAAGACCTGAACCATCGTCTCCAGAGACCACGCATAGAACCAAGAGCTGGGTCACGATGTCTGTTGTTGGCTTGGGGAAGAAGAACTTCATCTTCTCGAACTGGGCACGTATCCACTCGTGCAAACCACAGCTGTACTTCCAGCCCTCGACGCTGGATGAGATTGTGGCGTTGGTAGCGGAGGCCAAGTCCCACTCAAAGACCCTTCTGACGGTTGGGTCTGGCCATTCTCCATCGGACCTCGTCATGACGGAGGACTGGCTGGTGAACTTGGACAACTACAACAACGTTCTGGAGATCAGAAGGGACCCAAGTGGCCTGTTTGCTGATGTCACCGTGGAGGCCGGGATGAGACTGTACCAGTTGCACAAGCACCTGGCAGATGAAGGGCTGGCGATGCAAAACCTGGGCTCGATCTCGGAGCAGTCCATCGCAGGCATCATCTCCACAGGCACACACGGTGCTTCTCCGTACCATGGCCTGGTGTCTCAGCAGATTGTCGACCTGACGTTGGTGAACGGGAAAGGCGAAGTTGTGTACTGCAGCTCTGATGTGAACCAGGACATCTTCAGAGCAGCACTGCTCTCACTGGGCAAGATTGGTATCATCGTCAAGGCCACGATCCGTACAATCCCTGCTTTCAAGGTGAAGTCGTCCGAGGAGGTGGTGACCTTTGAGACGCTGCTGGAGAAATGGGAGACGCTGTGGGTCTCGTCAGAGTTCATCAGGGTATGGTGGTACCCGTACGCTAAGAAGTGTGTTCTCTGGCGAGGCCAGAAGACAGAAGAGCCAACGACGACCCCTAGACAGAGCTGGTGGGGTACCAAGTTTGGAAGATTCTTCTACGAGGCACTGCTATGGATTGCCGTCAACATCTATCCACCGTTCACGCCTGCTATTGAAAAGTTTGTCTTTAACAGACAGTTCGGTAAGGTTGAGACCGTTGGCGATGGTGCTGTCAACGTTGCTGGCTCCGTGGAAGCACTGAACATGGATTGTCTCTTCTCACAGTTTGTCAACGAATGGGCGGCTCCTCTGAACAACGGTCCTGAGATCCTGAGATCTCTGGAGCACAGCATCAACGTTGCCGCTGCCAACCATGACTTCTACGTCCATGTGCCAGTGGAGATTCGTTGCTCGAACACCACAAGCACTAACGAGGAGTCGTCATCAACGGTCCAGGAGGAGATCAGGGGACGCTCTACAACGTCGCCTGGCCCAGTAAGGGGTAACAACCTGCGCCCTTACCTGGATAACACACCGAAGTTGAACTACGCTCCGCTCTCTGATGTCACCAACTCACAGTTGACACTCTACATCAATGCAACCATGTACAGACCTTTCTTCACAAACTCGCCTATTGGCCAATGGTACAAGATCTTTGAAGAGACCATGGGCGCTGCTGGTGGTAAGCCACACTGGGCTAAGAACTTCATAGGCTCAACTGAGTGGGCTGAAGGAGAAGCCAAGGAGGAGTCGAAATACCAGGACGGTGAAATGAGAGGGTTTGCTACAAAGAATAGAGAGTGGTTTGGTGAGGACTTGGAGGCGTTCAAGAGGGTGAGAGCGGAGCAAGACCCCGATGGTGTTTTCCTCAGTTCGAAGCCATGGTTGGTGAAGAATGGAATCATCTGATTGCGTTTGCTTGAGAGAGTGTGTGAGAGGGAGAGAGAGCCGGGGATGAAAGCAAAGAGGAGAGAACGTGGTGATGGTGTGTGTTTGTTTACGGTTGTTTGTACTTGGAATGTCCATCACGTCCTGGAGCCCCGTGCTTGCTAGTTTGTACGACGATTGTTAATCTATAGAATTACGTGAATAAACAACTGTATACCGCCGCTGGAAGCTGTTGGACGGTGGCGCTGTGCGCCTCGTTGATGTTGTACACCTCGTTGATGTTGTACACCTCGTTGATGTTGTACACCTCGTTGGTGCTGTGCGCCTCGTTGATGTTGTACACCTCGTTGACACTGTACACCTGCCAGAGGAGACGGCGGAGTGGAGCTACGTGCTGTGGCGGGACAGGCCTGTGGTGATGAGCTCGCTCCCTTTGACGACAGCCAGCCAAAGAGCGGCCAACGAGCGCTCAACTGGTCTACCGTCGCAGCAAGCGAGCAAGATCACTCGCCCAGGCGGCTCTAAGGCGCAACGCTACGGGCCACGCTACAGGCCACAGCTACATAGAGCGCTTCAACCAACGGTTGTTGTTGTTGTTGATGTTGATGTTTTTAGCGACTTTGCCGCTGAAAAATTGACGGCGCTTACTAACGTCCTCCACTCACGCTCATCACGGCCTGGAATACTACATTTACCATGTCGAAAGAGCAGAAGAAGAATCCTCATGACATGCTGAAAGAGCCATTGCACGGCATCTACATCCCCGTGGCGTTGATCATCTGTGGCACCTTGATCTTTGGAGCCCAGTACCTGCCATACGTACTGGGAATACTGCTACCGTTCTTAGCGTTCAGGTTCTACAACGCGTACGTATTGAGACAGTCGATCTTCCCCGATAAGTGGACCAAGCTGGAGCTGGCCGAGTCCACGATCATCAGCAAGAACTGTGCTATCTACCGCTTCAATCTGGTGAGGGATTCTGAGGCTCTGGACATCCCAGTGGGCCACCATCTGGCGGTCAGAGTCAACGATGAGGTTCGCTATTACACTCCAATCTCAAGCAGGGATGACCAGGGCTACTTTGAGATCATCGTCAAGTCGTACGCCGATGGTAACGTGTCGAGATACTTTGCTGGGCTGAGACCAGGCCAGACTGTGGAGTTCAAAGGGCCAGTTGGGAGGTTCAACTACGCAACAAACCACGTCAAGGAGATCGGCATGATTGCTGGTGGTTCCGGCATCACTCCGATTCTCCAGGTCATTAGTGAAGTGACTAGAACACCAGAGGACGTGACGAAGCTTTCGCTCATCTACGCCAATGAAACTGCCAACGACATCTTGTTGAAAGACGAGCTGGACGAGCTCGCTGAGAAGTACCCGTACTTTGACGTCCACTACACCCTCACCCATCCACCAGAAGGATGGACCGGGGATGTTGGATACGTCACCAAGGATATGATTGCGAAGTACCTGCCATCTCCATCTGAGGACTCCAGAGTCCTCATCTGTGGTCCAAAGGGCATGAAAACGGCAATGGCCCAGTACACGGAGGAATTGGGGTTTGATGAGGCCAAAATGCCCTCCAAAGGTGACGATCAGGTCTTCATATTTTGATAGATATATAGGTGTCTCTAGTATATATACGTGTTGTGGTTTACATCAGCAGCTCCACTTCTGCAATCATACACAGGTGGTCGCTCGGGTATTCACCCTCGTGAGGTTGGCCATGTTCAGTCATCTCACTCGCTGGTGGCATCCTCAGCAGCCCAGTGACCCTGGTGTGTGTCAGAGATTCAAACTCCTCTAATGTTTCCACTTTCGAACTCGTGCTTGGTTCCCATGATGTAATGAAACAGATGTAGTCCAACAACCCTCTCCAGGCATGGGCCCAATTCGAGATCTCTGGCTCCCCAGCATCGTTATCCAGGCCCGAGTTCTCTGGATGGACCAGGTTGTAGGCAACAGAGTATAACGAGATGGCTCTCATGGGCAGATTGTTGTGCAGGTTTTGCATCTTCACCACCAATTGTTGCTGTTCCTCCGTGGCTACGAACTCATCTGGCACTGGGTCCTTTGGCTGGTTCTCCCCAAATTTCTCAATGTTGCCACCTTCTTCGTCGTTATCCTCATCATCAACGCCTTCTCTGAGCTTGGAGTACTGGAAAGATGTGGAGCACTCAATCACTCTTTTACAGCGTTCGTCGTAGACCACTGGTTTGGATGTCATTGACAAGTATGGGGAGTCAAAGGGCTGAGAGTTGAAATCACCACCAAAATAGTTAAACCACTCGCCTCCCTGTAGCAGTTTCACCCTCTGCTCGAACTCGCTGAACTTCTTCAGTATCACGTAGGTCTGCCTGGTTCTCTCATATGTGCCGAATGGATGCCAGAAGAGATGTGTTGTGCCAACGAGTATACCTTTCTTGTCAGTATCTGGGTATTGAGCCAGGACGGATTTCTGGAACTGGAGAGCCAGCACCAAGCCAACGTTCTTCGTCACAGTTCTCGGTTCTACCTCACCACTGGGCTCCTTATCGTAGTCGATATTCATTCTGTCGGTCATGAAGAACAGCTTCGCCTTGAAGAAGATCGCAACTCCGTGGTTCTTTTCTCCCCATCTGTTATACTGCGAATCATAGCCCAGCTTAGCCAGCTCGGCCTTCCAGAAGGACTTGTACTGCACATAATCAACCTCCTGGAGCAGCAGGACGTCACTGTCATAGTGCTTGAACTCGCTCAGCAAAACCTGTGATCTCTTGAACCACTTCACGGCATTCCCACTGGTTGGGAACAGCTTTCTTCGAATCAGAGCCTGTGCCAATACGTTGTAGGTCATTATAGACACCTTGAAAGCGTTGCTCCGTGGCTTCAGCCCCGGGACTCGTAGAATTGGTCTCTTTATGAACCTGAGATCCTTTGGAATCGCAAGCTCATCGGGATCTATGCCTTGAGCAATGAGCGCATCTCTTTTGGCCTTCTTCGCAGCTTCACGCTTGGCCCTTTGTTCTGCGATATACTCTGGCGTGATGTTTGGAGGCGGCTTGGCTTTTCCTCTCTTCTTATCACTCGAAGCAGTATCAGAGCTCATGGTCACCGGGCACAATTGAGGGTATTCGAGAGCCGTTGATGGCAGTAAAGGGACAGTTAGTACGGAACAATTTTTTTTTGCTTATTCCCTCTCACACGCATCTCGGAGAAACTCATCATCGCGGATCACCACAGCAACAGCAGCAGTGAAACAACACCTACAACAACATCACAATGATACTATCAAAACTAATACAAATAGGCCATTCTGTTTATTGGCAGTATGGACAGGGACAAAGAACACTCGTTATCAATCTCGTATTCAAAACAAAACGTGTATATATCACATAAACTTCTCCCCTTCTGTTGCTTCATTGAGCTGGAGCCCACTGGTTCATATTCTCAAGCTGTGTCACTTTCCCATTACCACTAACTACGACAACCTGTGGAGGAACAACGGCTTGTCCCTGTATCTGCACTGGTAGGATCTCAGGTGGTGCGATATTCACGCCATTGGTGGTTATCTGTTGTCTCAGCTGACCATCGACTGTGAGTTGTGGTCCTTGAACAACTTGCGCCCCGACTTGTGGGGACGTTTGAATTGGACCACCCGGTACTGTTACCGTTGTTACTGGTGGAGCAATGGGTACACTTGCTGCTAGCTGTTGCTGCTGCTGTCGTTGTTGCTGCTGTCGTTGTTGTTGCTGTTGCTGCTGTTGCTGTTGCTGTTGTTGCTGTTGCTGTTGCTGCTGCTGCTGTACCAAATTCGGATTGATTGGTTGAACAGTAGGCACTATATGAGAAGGATTATCACCACGTAACCTCGCAATGTAATTAGTGCCGTTAATCGTCTGCAAGATGGTGTCCACTATAGGTGATAATGCACTGGTCTGTTTCCCTTCGACAATGGATTGATGCAATAAAAGCGACTGCTGCCTTAGCTGATCTAATGCACTTGTGAGGTTGTTGTATTCGTTGAGGTAAAAGTTCAAATCGTTCTCCATCTTGATGATTTGCTCTTTCTTTCTCTTCCGGCATTTCGAAGCAGCCATCCTGTTTCTTTCCAAGAAGCTCTTACGTTTCTGCTCCTCGGTAGCATCTTCGTCATTGCCATTGCTGTTGTCATTATTAATACCGTTGTTCTCGCCTTCGGACTCAGATTTCGGTTTCTTAGCTTTCCGTTCTTCAGCTTCAACCTGTTTGGCCTTGCCTGTCCTTTTACGTCCTCTCTTTCCTTTAGGCTTAGCATCATTCAAAATGACACTGTCATCGCCATTTGCACCCAGAGCGTTCTGCTTGGTCACAGCGTCCGCTGTTGCTGTCTGCATCGTGCTCGTACTCGCGGCTATGTCTGCGGTGGTGTTCGTATTCGCACTGGCGTTTGTATTTGTCGAGGCATTCGCATCCGTCGTATCAGTTCTCACTGAACGGTCGTCAGCCTGGAGCTGTTGGTCAAAGTCCTTGGTGCTCGACGCCAGGAACGAGCTCAGCCCAGGTGTAAGGCCACCTGGGAACCCCAGCGATCCCGGCGTGGCAACCCCTGGCAGCGACATGTTCTGCAGCGAGTGAGGGAAGCTCTGTCCTCCCGGCGTGAGCCCTGTCCTGATGTTGGAGTCGTTCGGCGTGAGCCCTGTTCTCACGTACTGGGTGTTCCCCCAGCTGGATGGCACATTGGGAGACAGCACCAGTGGCGGTAGCTTGCGGCCTCCAGGCGTCAGGATCTGTGGAGACGTCCCGAGCCCGCCAATCGTCGGAGGCTTCTCACCAGAGCCGCCGCCCACTGTCGACGACTGTCCGTCCTTCGAAGCAAAGCTCTGTTCGAAGGGGTTGGGCTCGAGGTCGAACGAAGTCTTCGAGCTAGCCGCCGTTGATAAAGGTCCCTGAGACATCGCAAACGCTTCGTGTCCGCTGTCTGCTCCGTGTCCCGTGTCCCGTGTCCCGTGTCTGCGCTCTGTGTCCCTGCGAATCACCAGCGTAGCCAAATCGATCAGAAACCCGCTTGTGTCCCTACGCACACCTCAAAAGGTCTTTGTTGTTGTTGTTTTTCGCCTTTTACGCTGTGAACTTATCAACGATTTACTAAAAAACAAGTGGGCAAAATCCACGTTGAAAAGGGCAGCAGCAAACAAACCAACAACGGGAGGAAATTCGCTTCTAAAAAAAGCTGTGTACAAGTTCTAAAAACCACGCGCGCAGGCACACGCACGCACTCACTCACACTCACACGCAATTTTCCCGCTTGCAAAGTGTGTAAACTGTGGAATGGGCGGCCTTCCTCGGTGT